AAAAGTCTGGAAGAAACACTGCATACCGGCATACTGCCAAACAAAAAAAAAACGATTTGAGGCTTCTTTACAGATTTTTATTGCATCCAAGTCTAGTTTGCCAACAATTATTACAAAATTCTGAATAACTACCAACAGAACAATTATAGACACTCATTATGTAGGCTAAATCAGCTCACTAGCTAGACTGAACTGGCTAGATTACAATATTTACTACAACAAAAACAACGTTTTTATGGAACAAACTTTTAGCACAGCCGAGCTATGACTGGGATTATTTTAGTCGACTACACAACTTAAACTATAAACATTTACATTTTATATATTCGTTTCAAGCTTATAAATTAAAAATTGAAATGAAATTGACACAAAAATTAAAATAATTTAGGTTAGGCCTAACTGAAATGTTGGTGAAATGGTATTGGAAAGGGCGTTGCATGATCGTGCTTTAGAAACCTGGACAAAATAATCGTCTATAATTAGTAGGCAAAAGATGAAAAGCTAATTTTTAGTCAGCTGTTTTTCAACAGATGACTATAATGTTAAACCTGTACAGGACACAGGTGTTTAACAAGACTGGTCACTCTGGTTAGACCTGTACAGGACACAGGTGTTAACAAGACTGGTCACTCTGGTTAGACCTGTACAGGACACAGGTGTTTAACAAGACTGGTCACTCTGGTTAGACCTGTACTGGACACAGGTGTTTAACACCACAGTGGTCACTCTGGTTAGACCTGTACAGGACACAGGTGTTTAACATCACAGTGGTCACTCTGGTTTTACTGGACACAATTGTTTAACAGATGACTGATCTAAACTTTACTTTGAAAACACCAGCCACACTCTAGCTAAATCAAGACAGTCATTGATATAGTGAAGACAGAAAAAGCACATCAAATCTGTTTCACAATTATCAGAATCAATGATAAATCTTTTATTGAGAGTAGAGAAAGTAGGTGTTTAATACTGTTTTTATCCTCGAATTCCACCCCCCCCCCCCCCCCCCCCCCCAAATTTTAAAATTTCAAAAAAGTTCACTTACTACATTTTTATATATTACATTGTATCTGCTGACCATTTTTTTTTAAACAGTGGGATTTTTTTTCCATGCAGCAAAAAAAAAAAATGCAGTCACATTTCACCATAAACTTCAATCTTTTCCACTTTAAAATTAGAATATTTTAAGGAAATGTAACTTTTGCTCTCATTAACAATGTAGGTAGGATAATTAACTGCAAAGGGAAAAAAACATTCTTTTGGAAAAGTCACATCTCTGTAGACCTACTTGAATACTCTACAGTTGTAAGATGTTAGTATTAGCAGTACCCTACTAGTGTAGAATCTTATGGTGTATATCATGTTCTAGTCTTGTATATTTTTCACTTTTCTTGAAGATCTACTGATGCCGTTACAGACCTACTTTACTTATATGGAATGGTCATATCACTTTAACACAATATGCCTTAGTAAGAAAAACAGAAAATAAACAATTCTTATTTCTACAATCTGAAAAAAAAAATTCTCATACACACAACATGATCAAAAAACAAATTTTCCATGACATTTTCATACAGTCTAATGAGTTAAATAACATCAAGAACATTTTAACTTTTTTTTCTGATAAAAAACCCTATTCTTTCTTTTTTTTTTGAAAAAAAGTTTATTTAAAAAGTATAATCTGACTTATTTACAGTGAGCTACTGAATTAAATCAGTTTTACATATTATATATAATGCCATACATCAATATTGCAAAGTTTACACACAGATTTGAATTATGACAATCTTTTTAGCCAACAGTTCAATCACAATAAGTGCTAAGGCTAGTAAAATATCACACAGAGGTAAAAAAATATCTAAGGCTAACAGAGTATCACACACAATATGTGACTCCTACAATACAGAAACGTCGTTTGCTTGAACAATTTAATGCGAGTCATGACAAATAAGTCATTCACAAATTAAACTGTATATATATATATATATATATATATATATATATATATATATATATATATATATATATATATATATATATATATATATATATATATATATATATATATATATATATATATATATATATATATATATATATATATATATATATATGTATATACTTTTATAATAGTCTTACATTTTAGTATAGTAAAGATAAAAAAGTTTTCATAATTACTACAGTGATACCAATAATAAAATTCAAAAGCAAAAAAAGTTGACAAATAAGTCAAACAGTCAATTTAACAAATATTTACCTCAGCACACAAGTGATATAATGCACTGACCAAATAATCATTAAATAAAGCTATTTACTTTAGCAGGTACATGATAAGCAGCTACTAGCAAAATAATCTCTAAGCAAAATTAACTTTAGCAGAAATAATTTTGCATATGTCTAAATAATCTTGAAGCAAAGTCCCTGAAATGAATATATGAACAGGTAAAGCTAGTTCTCTAGTTAATGCATAGAAATACAAGAATGAAATTAAAGCAAATGTGTTGCAATTAAAACTTGGATAAAAATCATTGTAGAAAAAATAAGAATAGAAGAAATCATTATTATGAAACAGAAGACTTCAATTAACAACATCATTGTGCGACTAAAATAAATCATTTAAGTTAATGATCAATAACTAACATACATCCAACAAAAGCCAAAAAAAATTATTATTCAAAATTTTAAAATATTTTCTAGATTAAGGGTGGAGAAGTGCTCAGCAATTGAATATTTTTCTTAATTCGTCAGAATATATTGCAATGGGAAATATAGTTTAATACTTTCTTTGCTTAATTAATGCACAATTTTTACAAAACAACCTGCCTCTTCAAACATTCAGTAAAATTTATGCTTTTAGATATGTATGTAAATAAATTCTACAAAGAAAACATTAAAGACGTAAATGTCTGTAGCAATGATCCTGCTAAACAGCACAATTTGAAGAGCCTTCTAAACAATCCATGGAACATTGCCAATCAACCTGATAATGTCTCTTAAGAAGGTTGTCTCCCAAAATTCCACTTTTTTTCAAAGCCACATATTTAATGACAAGTGGAATAAATGGGGTTCAAACAACAAAAGAAAATGGGGGTAAACAGAAAAATCCAGGGAAACTTGACAAAATAGTGGTAAAAAGAAAACTCCATGTAAACTTGACAATAAAGTTGAGAGGTTATATAGTAAGGCCACAGAAAGTCTAAATGCAAGAAGCTGTAAACAAAAACTCGTATAGCTTTAGAAAAAAAAAATAGACTCAAGTGGTATAAGAGAACACGCTAGTCTCTAAACCTTTAACTTACTCTGGATCAAAGCTATTGAAACCAAATGTAAATTTAAACACTTGTGAATATACAATTACACTTGTCTTATAGGGAAATAAAATGCATTTCCTAAGTATAAAATTTTCTGTTCATGGTGTTAATCATAAAGAATTCTGGCTATTAAATTATGCATAACAAAAGAATAATATTACATTACTAAATGTTCTTCACAACCATATCAGAATTTAAACTATTTATAAAAAGTTCTTTTTAAAATGAATGTTTCATTCATTAAAAAAATATAAAAGAAGTAAACCAATCAGAGGGATCTTGTAGGTCACATGAAAATCAACATTTAAACATTTGTATCACATTTTTTAAAGTTCAATACTGTGAAAAAAAAAATTGCATTATTGGCATTAGTTAATATGTAAGAGAAGTAATTACGTTGGAATTCTGACATATAGTTATTGCCCTTTATTGCCACATTTCTTTCACAAGACAGTGGCTGTTTACAAACAGGAGAGTTTATTTACATCCATAATTGATGCAGTTTGTTCTTTTCAACTCACATGGACATGTCATATAATATAAATATATTAATCTATATAAGGAGTATATTCTTGTCTCTGAAATGTTTAAAGCAAAATAAAATAAGGAAAAAAAAAAGGGGGGGGGGGGGGGGAGAAGGGAGAGAGCAGCAAAATAAATAGATCAGTGTATGCCATGATACAGTACTTGTTAAAATCAGAATTTGTCTACACACATTTTTTTATCTTGCACATCTAATAGAATGTGTTAGCATTACGGCTGTGACAGCAAAAATCAGCACTGATTTTGTCTATGAAAAAAATTTGGAAGACAAAAATGTCAATGCTGCCTTGAATCAGCAGAGGCAATTTAAATTTGGCTTGGTAGGTGGTAAAACAAAAGAAAGGAGTCAATAAACTAAGAACAGGATGGCGAGAAATGAAGACTGAGTTTAAAAATAAACAACAAAAGCAGCTCAAATGAATGAGTTGAAAAGGCTTTGGTAAGTTAAATCAAAGTGTTGAAAGGGGAGTTTGCATGTCACAAATCAGTAATTTAGACATGTCACAAATCAGTAATTTAGACATGTCACATGTCAGTAATTATGAGTTGAAATAATAAAGTTTTCTATACACAACCAGTGTCACACAAGTAGGCCTATATCATGACAAAGAAATACAAATCACTTATCATTATAAAAGTTTTAAATTAGCATTGGTTCATTGTTTTTTTTTTCATTGGACCTGTAACAAATGATCACCTTATAATAAACAAAATTATTTAAAAAATAATAATACTTCGTGTTAATCATATATTTTGATTCCCTGGTTACTTGTTAGTTGTTTTTGTTTTGCTGGTTAAAACCAGAAGTCTTGCCATTTCCTGGTTGCTTGTTAATTGTTTCACTGGTTACACCAGTAGTCTTGACATTCTCTGGGTGCTTGTGATGAATCATTGAATCACAATTTAATTTTTATTAACGATTCCTCCAGGCCCAGCTAGGCTGGTTAGTCCCATTAAATCTTTATCGATTTGTCTGGCCGCCTGCCTGCCTTCTGCTATGGCCCAGACAACCAAAGATTGTCCTCTCCTACAGTCTGTTCAATAAAACAACATTAAATAAGCTCAAGAATTCAAATAGTAGAAGGGCATGAAAGTTATATTAAATCAACTAAAATTTATCCACTAGCTGTTCCAAACATTATAAATCCAAACTAATTTTGTAAGTGAATCAAATATAAAAATTTACCAAAATATAAAAATCCAACAGTTCTTTTTTAAAAAAAATTGTTTTAGCATTTCATGTGAAACTCAATGTGAAAATTAAAAATAATAGTTTTGCACAAGTCATACTAAACATAAAAAAACCTGGCTAACTTTTGAAGCGAAACAAATAGAAAATTGACTACCAACCTCCAGCAGCATACAGCCTAGGAATGCTTGTATGATATTTCCCATTGGGGGTTTCTAGGTTACCCCTGGGGTCTAAATGAACTGATAATTCATCTACAACCTTGCGCTCTGGTCCCAGGAATCCCATAGCAAGCAGGACCAGGTCGCACTTGTAAGTTTTCTCTGAATCTGTTTCACAGTTACAACAATATTAGCTGCTCGTGTTTATTGTGGTTGTATTAAAAAAATTATTTTGAAACAGATTTTTTTAAATGAAAGATTGACTTTTTTTAAGGAGGAACCACATTTCATACAATTTTGGCTCACTGATAGGTCTTTAAGCATAGCAATTAAGGTTGGACTTCAATAGTTTAAAAAAAATAATCTAGACAATTATTCTAATTATCCGAAAACAAAATTAACTATGAGAACATTTTACCTGGAACATCTCTCATATTCCATCGTCCAGCATCATCTTTGTACCATTCCACAAGAGAAGTTTTTACCCCTGTAACATTGCCATTCTCATCTCCTTCAAACTCCTGGATATAAGAAAATAATATTTAAAAAAAACACATCTCATTTAGAGAAAGGATTAGAGACATCTAAGTTTTTGAAAAAATGATTACAGTAATATAACAGTAAGGTCATACTTACCAAGCTTTTAACATTGAAGACACGCGGGTCATTTCCCCATTTCAGCTTGACCTCTTCGTGGCCGTAGTCGACCCGGAATATTCTCGGCCATGTTGGCCAAGGGTTACTGTCTGCTCTAGTGGCTGGTGGTTCAGGTAAAATTTCAAATGTGGTGATGGAGCTGGCACCCTGACAAAAGATTTACATAGATATTACTGGTGGCATTAGCACCCTAGCAAGTGATTTACATAGGATGTTACTGGTGGAATTAGCACATTGACAAGTGATTTACATAGATATTACTGGTGGCATTAGCACCATGTCAAGTGATTTACATAGATATTATTGGTGGCAATAGCACCATGTCAAGTGATGTAAATAGATATTACTGGTGGAATTAGCACCCTAACAAGTGATTTACATAGGATATTACTGGTGGCATTAGCACCCTGTCAAGTGATGTAAATAGATATTACTGGTGGAATTAGCACCATGTCGAGTGATTTACATAGGATATTACTGGTGGCATAAACACCCTAGCAAGTGATTTACTTGGATATTCCTTCAGAGTAAGACTGGCAGATTTTTTATAATCAGTCGAGATGAATAATACTGTGGCTTTAAAATTTCAGGGAAGCACTAGCACCCACACAACATAAATATACCTCAAATGAAATTACTAAACAATGTAATGTTATAATCACAGTAATATTAACTGTATCTAGTATGTGAAACTGATATTTTACTATCTAGCTGGGAGACAAGTAGAAGTACTCACATGTCTGAGAGATGTGGCAATACAGTCGCAGCCAGTGTCCCCACCTCCAATGACAACAACATTCTTGTCTTTGGCTGAAATGTAAGGGCTTGAATTGTTGCCCTGCTGGTTCTTCTGCCAGGATTCCAGGAAGTTCATGGCGTAGTGGACGCCATTCAGCTGACGACCTGTGGGGGATACAGAGCAGTGAAGTTGTAGCAGCATCTTTAACCTGTCCCCTTCTAACTCTACAAGTGGACTTCAGATTGTACAACAGTTGTATGTGGCCAGAACAATATTAAAAAGTAAAGTAAAGTTTCCTTTCAAACCTGACGGTCTATAGGGCAAGTGAAATAGCTTTCACTTCTTTCTGTGACCTCGGCATATGAAGAGATAGTGTGGTCAGCAATATGCCCAGCCGCCTTTATTTTCCCTAAGTGAGTTAGGTACCCATCAGAGTTTGGTGGACTCAGGGATGGTCTACTGACTTGAACCCGGATTCGAACTTGAGACTTAAGGGTTAGCAGTCAAGCTCTCTGCCGCTAGACCACTCCGTCCCCAGCAAAATATTGGCTAGCACTTATTATTCTAGGGTGACAATTGATCCATTATAGTAGGTATGAACTGAGTAGCAACAAGAATCCAAAATTCTGATTAACACAGATATCCATTGACCCTAAATTTTAGGTAGAAAAAAACATTTAAATTTTAAAAATTTTTGTTTTTACCTGGAATGGGCAGGTCCCTAGGCCAGGTAGCGCCCTGAGCACACAAGACAGCATCAAACTCCTCCAGCAGTGACCTCGCTGTCACGGTTACACCCACCTCCACGTTGGTTTTAAATGTGATCCCCTCTTTCACAAGGATGTCCACACGCCTGTCTACCACCTGCATAGTTTGGTAAAACAAACGGTACTGAATTTTTGTTGTACAAAAAACCATTACATAATTTGTGGTGGTCAAAAAAACATTAGATAATTTTATGGTTCTCAAACGAATGTTACAGATTTCTTTTTATGGTCAAACAAATGTTATCGATTTTGTGTGTACACAAATTATAATGTGAATTGGTAACACGGCATTGCTACAAGTAACTAGTACTTTAAAAAACAAATTACAATAACTTTTGTTTTTTGAGTCATTCTTTAAAATTAAGACAAACAAATTATTATATATTTTGGTACTTTAAAATCCCCATCTACAAATTAATGTGGATTTATTCTTAAAATCATCATTTACAACTGCTGGAGTTGACTTAAAACATTCTTAAAAATTTAGACAAATTATTGTATATTTTGGTACTTTAAAATCACCATCTACATCTGCTGGAGCTGACTTAGAACAAGATACTCACCCTTTTGTCCAGTTTCATGGTGGGGATGCCGTAACGAAGCAGACCACCAACACGATCATTGCGCTCATACACAGTAACCCAGTGGCCAGCCTACAATCAGTTTAATTTTTTTTTGTAAGTTACACAATACAAACATTTCTGTTACAATAGAAGCTAACGAACAGTACAGTAAAATAAGATAGAGGTATTTAAATAATTAAAAACAGATTTAATTTTCTCTATACTACATGTAACACATTTATTTAATAAGAAGATTTATAGTGCATAATTCATGACCCAGATTAAACAAAACATCAAATAAACTTAAGCAATAAATTTCAATAACCTCTTTAAATAAAACTGACCCCAAAAGAATAAATACCAAAAGAATAAAGTTTACATACTTCATGGCCTCTTTATAAATAAATATTAATACAATTTTGGTTATATAAGTTGTGGACCCTTTCCTCCCAATAAATCAATACCGAAAATTTGAGACAACATTAAATATTGAGACCAGATTGGACTTACTTTGTTAAGTTGTGCAGCAGCTGCAAGGCCGGCTGGACCACTGCCAATCACAGCAATTTTCCTCCCGGTGCGGTTAGTGGGAATAATGGGCTTGACCCAGCCCATCTCAAACCCGTGGTCAATTATTGAGTTTTCCACATTTTTTATTGTCACTGGCGGGGTGTTGATACCCAAAACACAAGCGCCCTGAGAGTGGGTTTTTTAAAAAGTTGAATTTTTTTAAATTTACCAAAACAAAAGTTTTGAGACAGCATTGAAGTTAATGAAAAGAGAACTCTAACCTCACATGGTGCTGGGCACACTCGACCAGTGAATTCTGGGAAGTTGTTGGTTTGATGAAGATAATCCAAGGCCAATTTCCAGGCATTCTAAAATTAAGAAAACATTCAACTTGGTGGGTGAAATAAAGAAAAAGTAAATTAGATTGTTGGAATTACAATGCTTTTAATTATATGTTATAATTATGTAATTATGTTTTAAAAAAGAATCCTTTAAAATATAATTTTCCCTAATTATTTATATTCTATGATCATCATGTCTTTGTTTTGTAAACAAAGAAAAAAATAATCAAAGAAAAGCAATTAGTGTAATAAGACAAGGGAGACTACCTTAAAGACCAAGTTGTTCCACTTGGGGATGAGATTACTGAGTGGACACCCATGATTTGATGTACAGAAAGGAACACCACAGTCCATGCACCTAAATGATACAAACAGGTTCAAAGTTCAATTACTGCCCAAATATAAACTTTTAGAATAATAATAAACACGACACTCAATAGAAAGAATTGTTGAAAATAGGTTTTTGATATCAGAGGTTGGATACAGTATCGTATTTTGAAAAATAAATACATTTTCTTATTTATGGCCTTATGTTGTTTATGGTCTAATGATGTTTTTTATGATCTATTGTTGTTTATGGTTTCATGATGTTTACGATCTTATAAACTTTTATAGATGTATTGCCTTGTATTGTTATTTATGGTCTTAAGTAGTTTATGGTTATATGTTGTTTAAGACCTTATGTCATTTATGATCTCATGTTGTTTATGGTTTCTAGTAGTTTATGGTTTTATCGTGTTTATGGCCTTATGTCATTTATGATCTCATGTTTTTATTTATGGTCTTTTGTGTTTTATGGCCTTATGTTATTTATGGCCTTACATTGTTTATGGCCTTACATTGTTTATGGTCTCTTGTTGTTTATGGCCTTCAATTGTTTATGGCCTTATGTTGTTTATGGCCTTAAATTGTTTATGGCCTTACGTTGTTTATGGCCTAATGTAGTTTACCTGGCAGCCTGGACCCTGAGGCCATCAATAACTTGTTTGTGGTTGTAAATCTCCTTCCAGTCCTTCTGCCTGTCTGCGGCATCTCTGTACTGGTATGTGGCACGTTTGTACTTCACAAAACCTCTGGGGGGAGGAAGAAGAATTTTTTTATCAAAAACATTTATACTTCACAAAGCCTCTGGGGGGGGGGGGGGGGGGGGGGAAGAAGAATTTATCACAAACATAAAAAAAGAGTATTTTACCTGGGCTGCATTTTAATACAAACAAACACACACACACACAAACAAATGAAGCTTATGGATACAATCTAATAAACAAAAAACATATATAATGCTGCTAACAAAAGGATTTTTTTTTTAATTGAGAAAAAAATGGTGTGGAATATAACCCTACAAAAACATAACTTATGTGTTCACATCTTTTAATAAATCTAATAATACTACATAATAGGGTCACAAATTCTAACAAAAGAATTTAGAAAGGAACCTCGTCTTGTCCAGGACCAAATCTAAGACTTTGTTCTCCTGGGTGGTGTTTCTGATAGCATCTTCAATGTCAACCACAGATTTCCTTTTCTGTTGCGGCTCCTGAAGTTATAAAACTTTTTTATTTCTCTATCATTCTTGGGGAATAACATTTTCACATAAAGAATTTGAAAATAGATAATTGAACCACAGCATTAAGAAATATGAACACGTCCTAATTAATTTAACAAAAATGATTTATTTTAGAGAAAGAAACGCCTAATGTAGGTAATCTAAGCTTATAAATATTCTAATGTTTTGTCAAAAACAATGAACAGCAACGTATTGACTTTTTCTTTCTCCAATTCATGATTTTCAAAATATTTCCCAAAACCTTGTTTTTCTTCAATAATACCAGTTAAATTAGCATATCTAGTGTAAGACTACAATATGCAGGCTTTGGAACTTGAATTTCACAGAAATTTACATTCAAATTAATTCAAGACAAATGTACTTAGTTATTTATGGAAACTATAAAGTGTTTGAGATTATAATTTCATGAACAAGCATTTATTATATAGCAATCAGCAACAAATTAAATATATAGTGAATTATTTCAGAAAATTAATTTTAAAAATATATAATTGTTATAAATAATGTTTTGTAATTAATTAGGCCTAAGTAGAATGAATAATTTATTGATTAATTTGAATAAAATGAGGGCTACTTAAGGATAATTAGATAGGGTTAGAAAGTTTCAAAAACATTTTAAAAGAAAATTATAATTGTCTCCCTTACGTCTTCATCTTCCAGCTTATTGATTATCTCCTCATCATACATGTTTGACAGTGAACTGGCCCTCTTGAGACCTTCTGATGGGATACCCAGAAAGTTGTCTTCCTTCTTCATCACTGCTGCAGCTGCTGCTGCCTTTTCTATGGCAGCTTTCTTTTCAGCTTCTTCTTTAGCGACTTCAGCTAGCGCGTGCTGGTATTCGTACGGGAATACCTGCAAAATAATTTTTACAGCTAAGTTAATATTAAAAACTCCCTTATTTTATAATAAAGGATTGTATTTTGATCTTTCAAAATTTTTACTATTTGATGTGTTAAATTATTACGAAAAAATTTCCACTCAGAAAATGTTCACAATGCAGAAATCGTCGAAAATTTGGTTGAGTAAGCTAGTGATTTATGATTTTACACAGCTGTTATATATATTTATATAGATAGGCCTAACTAGCACAGGAGGCCAAAGTTACAATTAAAATAGTGGCAGAAATATTAACTCAGCTCTTAAAGTGCTAAACATACCCACAGATACTGGGATTTATTAATTTTGTAGGGTTGATAATTTTGGGTGTTCCTGGTAAATAAAACAAAATAATTTTTTGCACTAAGTTCAAAGGGCAAAAAGTGGAAAACCAAATGACTTACCTTGACAAACTCCTGGTGTTCTGTCTCCCAGTTGTCAATGATGTGTTTGGCGACCTCTGACCCCGTGGCTTCTACAAACTCTTTCAGCAGGTTGTACACAAACTCCTTGTCGTCTTTTTCACTCAGGGGCAATAACTCTACAGACTCTTTGTTACAACGCTCGTGGAACATTTTCAACCTAAAATACATTGAGAAAAAAAATCAGACGGAAATATTTTTTTTTCCCAACATGTAAGTCAGTTAAAGTGCTACAAATAAAAAGTAATGTACTTGGTTGAATTTAATAATATACTTTCACATGTGATACAGCTAGAATAGGGATAACTGGAGACTGGTTGGTGGGACTCACTTGTCATAGCAATAGGCTATGCCACCCGACATGCCAGCAGCAAAGTTGCGTCCAGTCAGACCCAGCACAATGACCCTCCCACCTGTCATGTACTCACAGCCGTGGTCACCGCAGCCCTGAAACAAAAAAATTTTTAAATTAATTTACCTGTTTAAAAAATACAACTATGAAAACAACATGGTCTATAAATAAAACAAACACAATTAAAGTCAAATTGGTTGCATTTTTAAAAAAAAACACAAAAAAAAAAAACCCGCATACATTTCTTAGTTCATTGTAAAACTAAATTCAAGCAAGATAAGCTTTACATGTTATGCGGTATTATGATCCTTACATTTTTTTTCTTAGTAAAATGTCTATACAAGTAAAGTAGTGTAATGGTCAATATCAAGTACTTGTTGAGTCTAATAGCCTAGGGTTGTGTGACTGGTCCTATGGCCAGCCGATTTTGCTGTAACGTAAAGCATTTACAGGTTCAACTCGATGTGTTGCAAGCTCAGTTTAAAGACCAGTCTAGAATCACTAGGCATGCTGCCCAGCTTCGCTTAGGCTTTCGAAAACATTGAGAATGTGAATGCTTAATTAATTCGCCATAGGGTCGGTCTACGACCTCAAGAGTTATGAAGAGGTTCCTCCGTGGACATTTTTTTTCGATTTATAGCTCATATAAGGTACCGGTCAGTCGAGGTCAGTTTTGACCCCCTCATCGTAGACTTTTCGGCCAACCGGCCCCCGTGTTATGTCGCCCCAAGGCAAGATCCTGCCAAATTTGAAGCGCCTGCGGCGCCGGGAAGTGCCTTATCGGACACCCGACAATCTAGATCTAGAATCCTAATTGAATTTTTTTTTTTAAGTTTAGTCCGAGCAAAATAAAAAAAAAATACATTAACCAAGTTGACTTGGTGGGTCTCGAACCCGCACCACCTGCGTGGTTTATAGTACACTAACATCTCCGCTATTTAGGCACCTTATAAAATTCAGAGAATGAAAGACGTATTTTAAAATCTTAACTTACGCGAATATGCCTATTCTTTCAAATTAATTTTTTTATCCCAAATTAGCCAGTTCCAAACAAAGATTTTGTATAAATAAATGTTATGAGTTTAGGCCGGAAAAATTGTATTGTATACATTTCATAGTGTACGTAGATCTAAATCAAATTTGAATGAAATAGTTCATTTCTTTTTTATTTTAAACACGGCAGATGACGTCATTAGTAAGCAATAGTGTCGTCACAGTTTTATGCGTTCTTTTACACATCTATTAATGCTTTTCCGGTTGCATAAATAATACTGTTTCTCTATATTCAAATACGCCTTGATTTTTTATTTTTCTTCTTTAAATAAAATTGTGGTTATACATTTAAAACATCTAACATATTATTTTCAACAAAAGTCCGTATAAAGTTCTCTGACGTGATGTCCGGCGAAAATTTTTTGCGGACAGAGAGAGAGAGAGAGAGAGAGATGTGCGAACGTAGCCCATTATAGTATTAGATGTAAGTATGTCCAAGCTGATCTGTCCCACACCTCAGTATGTCTAGAATCAACTAAGCCACCCCAACACGTATGTATGAGCTGATCTATCCCCTAGTTTGTCTAGAATCAACTAAGCCACCCCCAACACGTATGTCCAAGCCGATCTATCCCTCACCTCAGCCACTGCAGTAGCCCCTGAGTTCCTGACACAAAACCTTTCAGCTGTTTGTCCCCTGAAGAAGGCCTTCCCTCTAGTGGCCCCATACAGGCAGACGTTGCCCACCACAATGTTGTCTTCAGACTTGAACCCTGGGGGAACTGTTTTAGGTGGACAAATGACCACCTCACCTCCAGATAAACCCTGTGGGTCAACAAAATTGTATGCTAAACATGGTGGAAAATGACGTACATTTGTGCAATCTATGGATAAGTAATTAATTTTAATTGAAAATAAATTGGTAGTTATTTCATGAATTAGATACATTTGTGCAATCTATGGATAAGTAATTTATTTTAATTGAAATTAAATGAGTAGTTATTTCATGAAAGTTATGTTTTAAAACAGTCATCAGAACATACCTTACAAACATAGTCATTGGCATCACCCTCTAGGTAAACAGAAACCCCTTTGGCCAGAAAAGCACAGAAACTCTGGCCACCAGAGCCAACCATGTTGATCTCAATTGATTTATCTGGCAATCCTTTCTCTACTGTGCGTCTGAGGGGGAATAAAACAAAATGAGCTGTTTGTTTCAAACTTTTCTATCAAGGCAGGAATTTTTAGATTCCAAGATAAATTGTTGGAAATAAGGAATGATAAAAAAATGAATTAAAAGAGCATTTTTACTTTGAAATCTCATGGCTAAGAGTTGCACCAAAAGTTCTGTCCTCATTGCAAGTTGGCAAGTCAATCTTGATGTGTTTGCTCTTGCCATCCAAAACATCTCTGGCCATTTCAATGATTTTGTAGTCCTAAATGAGGCACCCAATATTAAAGTTACATAGTGGGGAAAACAGTTCCATGTTATTTTAAAACTATTATTTATGTGTTTATTCATAGAAGCATAATTTATGTAAAATGTAACAGTAAATGACAAAACTTAAAAATTAACATACTATTTAGTACTCTACACAACATTTCAATGTTTATTATTTGTATAAGCATTAATATATTAGTATTACAATATTAGACATACCACACGTTTTGACAACTCAAATTCTTGGCCCACCGTCCCACCCTTTATGTTAGTGCCGGGTCGAAGCTCTAGCGCGTTGGTTAAAATATTTTTAAAGTTCAGCAGCGCAGCCTTGGGGTTGGCAGGGTCAGGGTTAAACTTCAGCTTGTCCACTCGTCCAACCATTTCCTGGAAAGTTCTGAAGCCCATCTCAGCCATCAAGCTTCGCACCTAAAGTTTAGATAATCCATTCTGAGTAAAACAGTTGTAATTTACAAGTCCATCAAAGATTTATTGAAGGGAAAATAAAACTTTACCTCCTCTGCCAGGAAAAATAAATAGTTGATGACATATTCTGGTTTCCCAGCAAATTTGGCTCTCAACTCAGGATCCTAGAGTGAAAAAAATTACTCTAAAGGGAGAGAATGTTTCAAGGGAGGTAACGTAAGCTTTGTATGTGACAAAAAATTATCCTACAGATTTGTAAACTGAAAATGATGTTTTAGGCTTTGTAGATGAAGAAAAATAGCATACAAGGTGTTTGTTTAACCACAGCTGGTTTAACTGACCTGTGTGGCGACGCCCACTGGGCAAGTGTTGAGGTGACATTTGCGCATCATGGTGCAGCCTAGAACTATTAAAGGTGCTGTGCTGAAACCAAACTCATCTGCACCCAGCAGAGCAGCGATGACAACATCACGACCTGGGAACAAGAAACAGCAACAATAACTTCTAAACTACTATACCAAGAAACAGCAACATTAACTTCTAAACTACTATACCAAGAAACACTAACAATAACTTTCAAACTAAAGAAAACTACTAGCATCTATATATATAATTCTCTTCTGGTATCAGTTAGAAAACAAGCTGCAAGCGCCTCCTTGCAGTCCCCTCTCTTTCTCTCTATCACTATCACTACCACCCCCACCCCACCCCCACATTGTCTGGTGAGCTGTGCTCACGCTGTTTACATTTTACAATCATAGAGACGGGTTTGGTGACGGCTATTAGGGGCAGATAATTTAGTTTGAAACGATTTTAAACTTAGAGGAGGTAACCAAGAGGAGGCTGCTTTCACGGGGGGGGGGTTAGTGTTTTTAAGCAAATATTTTCAGTGGCAGCATTGGTACTGTCAAATTCACAAATTATAAATTACTGAAAAGTAGAAAAAAAAAAACAACTAAATAGCGGTGTATGATACGCAGCGGGTCGGCTCGTATTAAATATTTAAGGCAACCATGACGTGCTTGACTTTCTGGTTGGACAATATTTACTCTTGCCATAAGTTCTATTAATAATCTCTTATTCTGACCCTCATTAGTAACCATGGATATTTTGTCTTTGTTGGTGACCACAAAGAGAAACACCTACCTGTTCTAATCTGCCCATCAGCTTGAAGGACGACCCTTGACCTCAGGTTGTTGAGTGTCAAGACCTGGTGAGTTTCTGATATCCCTAGTTCCCATGGCAACCCAGCATTCTTGATACCAGTCCAGCTGCTGGCACCTGTGCCTCCATCATGGCCAGAAATGACAATGTGCTCAGCTTTACACTGGGGAGGGGAGAGAAACACTTTACTGACAGGATAAGGAGGGGAGAGAAGCACATTACTGGTAGGATGGGGAGGGGAGAGAAGCACATTACTGACAGGATGAGGAAGGGGAGAGAAGCAATTCAATATTTAGTTTAAATATTTCTCTAGCAACATTCAGCAATTGGCCAGATTTCTGTGTGATAAAATGTTTAAAAATATTTGGATTTATCTTACTTTTACAACAGTTTACTAAATTTTAGATAAAAAAGAAGTTTTTATTAATGGATTTTAGTCATTCTATTTCATAGCACATTTAAGTATTATTTCACTGTTCACCTGTTTGGGAGTGTGTTTAAATCATATTTAAGCCAATGTTTATTCTGTTTTTAGGAAGATAAGTATCCATCCAGATCTTATGATTAAACTCACAGAAAGTAAAGGCACATTTGGACAACATGCAGGTTTCAATGTTTTGTAATCAAGTAGATAAGAAAAAAAAACTTAACCTCTTGTATCTCTTTCCTCAGCACCATTTATTCAAACTTTTAAGAACTTGCAAACACAATAATTTTTAAAATGAAACCAAATGTGACCAACCTTAGCAACACCAGAAGCAACAATACCCACTCCAACTTCTGATACCAACTTGACACTGATTCGAGCAGACGGATTAGCAGACTTGAGGTCATAGATCAACTGGTGCATGAATCAAATATTTTGATAAAAAACTCTCCTTTTAACAAATGTAATTTAAAAATTCTGGTCTGTTATTGTCTTAATCAATTCATTATAAATTTTTATAAAACAAAAAACAACTTTTGTGGTTCAAAATTTGTGAGGCAAAATCATGATTAAATTATTGTAAAAATGCAAGCTATATTTTTCTAGTCTACTCTTAAAGTAAAAAACTGTAAAAACCTGTGACAAGTCCTCAATAGAGTAGATGTCATGGTGGGGAGGGGGGCTGATGAGACCAACACCTGGGATAGAGTGGCGAGTCTTGGCTATCTCTTTGGTCACCTGCAAGTTCAGGTCAAACAAAAATCAACTTTAAACTCAAACTTTGAACAAAACACTGAAATAAAATATTTTACTCTGAACACATGTATTTTGGTTCCTCTTATTCACTGTTATATACCTACACATGTTACTTATATGATTATCTACACATTAGCCACACCCACCTTGTAACCAGGAAGTTCTCCACCCTCACCCGGCTTGGCCCCCTGAGCCATCTTGATCTGCAGCTCATCCGCATGTGTCAGGTAGGAGCTGGTCACACCAAACCTGCCTGAAGCTACCTGTAACAAACATTCAAGTTTCAGATGTTGACTAGTTTCATGCTCAGGTTAGGCTAAGTATCCAAACATTTCCATCATTTAAAAAAAAAAAAAAAAAGCTATAGGCCTACAACATAGTAAAATAGTTCAATATTTAGTGCCAGTTCTGGAACATAGCAAAATATATTCAGCCTTTTCAAGAATAAAGTGAATATTTACTGCCTGTTCTATACATGGCTAGATATTTGCTGCATGTTCCAGAACATAGTTAATTGTTTACCTCAAGTTCTAGAACACAGGTGAAGTTTGACAGCAAGCCCTAGATTATATGGAATCACAGATTACCACAACTCACCTGCTTAATCTTAGACCTTGCGTTGTACTCAGGGTCCTCGTTCAGGTACCTCTCGGGGTTCTCCCCTCCCTCCCCTGTGTTGGACTTGGCCCCAATCCTGTTCATGGCCACGGCCAGGGTGGTGTGGGCCTCTATGGAGATGCTGCCAAAGCTCATGGCGCCGGTACAAAACCTCTTGACGATGTTCTTGGCCTCTTCCACCTCCGTGATGTCCAGGGGTTTGTTGGCCCCCACAAAGTCAAGCTGACCTCTGAGGGTGCATTTTTTGGCACTTTCCCAGGCTGACTCAACAAACTTGTCGTAGGCGTCTTTGTTGTTGCTCTTTGATGCATCCTGGTGATAAGAATGATCAATAGACTCACAATAGAACTACATCTACAAAAAGCAGGAGCTTGAAGTAAATATAATTATAGCTTCATAAGACTTTATCGTGTAGCAGATTAAAATTGAAACAATGATGGTAAACAGTTTGTTATTCTTGATGTAATTAAAGTGCACCATAAGACAATAGATCTTGCCCTGTTATTGAGTACATAAGATATATATATATTTTTAAATACTTTTCAATAATAACCCTAATAGAAACATCTGAAACATGTATTATTTGTTTCTTAAAGAATTTTATTACATAATTGTTTTTGTTTTACCCTATATTTAATAAACAAGATTCTTTAATAATAATAAATGCATAATTATTGTTTACACATTCCCTCACTTAATGGTAGCTGGCTAACAATTGTAGGGGGTAAAATATATTTAAACTCTACATGTCAACTGACCTGCAAATTGGCGATGGTTGTGGGGTCGTTCATGTGTTTCTCTCCACCAGATCGCCAGTGGTAGTTTCCCTTGTTCATCACCAACACATTGTCGCAGTCGTGTAGCGTGTAGGCCAGGTCATGACGGTTGATGGCCTGAGGAGAAAGTCACACTAGTGATATTGTTCTTCTTCACACTTATTGTTTACAGAGTCAACAGGTTGACACATAATACTTGGTTGGAGGTAATAACATCCAACATAACAATTAAGAACAAAGAAGAAGAATGAATTGTTTCCAATATTGCCAGAAACATAGTCAGGCTCTTGCAGGGTGTGGACTAAGTTGTGAGACTTGAGGGAGACTAACAAGTGTAGCTGTTGGAGCTACTGATACTATATGCTACACAAACTGTTGTGATTGATTTTTTTACTGCAGCTACTGATACTATATGTCCCACAAACAGTTGTGCTTTAATTTTTAACTGCAGGTACTGATACTATATGTCACATAGAATGTTGTGAATGAATTTTTAACTATAATGACCGATACAAAATGTCACATAAATAGTTGTGCTTTAATATTTAATTAAAGCTACTGATGCTATATGTAACATGATCAGTTTTGTTTAAATATACCCAGTAAAGCATGAAAATAAATGTGTTTGAACCTACAACTTCAGCTAAGTTTTGAACAGTGAGAATGGCAGTTTTAGTCAAATAATTTCACCCAGCCTATACATTTCTAAAAAAAAATCTAATAAACAAATTGTTACCTCACGACCTAGAATCTCAAAGTTGACGCCTCCAACACGTGAGGGGGTGCCAATGAAACACATGTCTATCACCTCCTGGTCCAGCCCCACTGCCTCAAAGATTTGGGCACCCTGAAAGTTTAAAACTTAGTTAGCTAACAGAATAAAATTTAGTATTAAATGTTACTAGGCTAAAATAAATGATTGAGATTATAAAACTTTTTTTTAGGTCCAGGATGCAGATTAAGGTACGAATAAGTATAATGTATTCTATGTGCAGCTAAATTCAAACTGTTAGTATAGATCAGTTCTATTCCAAATTTAGGAAAACACTAAAAGTAGGAATGAAAAATGAAAGAAATAACCCAAATAAAACTTTACCTTGTAGCTGTGTAGTGTAGATATTCCCATCTTGGCCATGACTTTAGAAATACCACGAGCACACGCCACACGGAAGTTGAGGTAGATGATCCTGTCATTAAACTGCTCATCTATAAGTCCTTGTTGGCGAACTCTCCGCAAAAGTTCAAAGGTCAGGTAGGGACAAATGGCATCAGCTCCATAGCCTAACAGTGTGCAGAAATGATGAATCTCTCTGTGGGTAAAATCGTGGGCTTTTTAAATTGACTTTTAAAAATTGTATTACTATGGTATTATAATGTCTACAGAACAAACTAGTAATATAAACAATAGATTTAATAATATAAACAAAATTATTTAAATCGAGCTTATTTCATAACAGTAGCTAGTTTTAGGCTGGGTCTAAAACTTTCTTACCTGGCTTCACCTGTCTCCACAATCAGACCAATCTTCATCCTGAGTTTCTTTTCAATCAGGTAATGGTGTACAGCCCCCACAGCCAGCAGAGAACTGAAATACAAAATACAGGTTACAGGTGCTACAAGACAATATAAGTATACCATAAATTTAGACTACAGGTGGTGCTAGACAATGTAAGTATATTATAAACTTTGACTACAAGGGCTACAAAACAACATAAGTATACCACAAGGAAGGATTGATATAAGAGTGGAACCATAGCTGAAATACCAATCTCAGTGAAACAACACAGGACTAAGGCGTGACTGCAGTAGCTGGATGACATGACTGAACAGTTTTTCTGGCAACTGACCTGACTGGGACGTATTCCGGACCAGCTTTCCTGTCAGTCAGGATGATCAGTTTGAAGCCGTCCCTAGCCGCGGCCGCACTCTCCTCACAGATCCTGGTCAGGGCAGGCTTGAGGCCTAGGGCACCGTCCTTCACTGGGTACACAATGTTCACCTCCTTAGACTAGAGGGGGGGATGGTAGGAGAGGAGATTGGTAGACGATGGTTTAAATGGTTTTATTGTTGTGTGCATGGTTCACATACAAAAATGATATTTAAATTTTCATGAGCTGTGTACATTTTGACAAAAATTTAGGGTCTGTTTCAAGATGAGCAGTAAAAAAAAGCTGCTTACATTCCACTGCTTGTAGTCAATGTATCTGAGCATCTCCATGTCTGGCAGGGAGAGGATGGGCTGCTCCAGCCAAAGTCTCTGGCACTGTTCTGGGCCTGGCTCAAGGATGTTGTGCTCTGGGCCAACTGGACATGCCTAAACATTAACAGTGGACACTTGAGGGTAATGAGGCTAATTACAGCAAGGTGACAGTGAAGCTAAACACTATGAGGCCAAATGTTAAATTTCATGTTAATTTTAAAAAAAATATTTTAAATAAAAAAAAATTGAAGCTGACTTACAAGGGACATGACAATCTTCTCTCTGAAGGGGTCAATGGGTGGGTTGGTAACCTGGGCAAACAGCTGCTTGAAGTAGGTGAACAGAAGTGGGTTGAACTGGGAAAGGCAGGCAAGTGGGGCATCATTTCCCATGGAGCCTAGGGACTCTTTTCTGTTAAAGTTACAAAAGTTTGGTTTAGAAGACAAATCGACGTGTTGTGGAATTTAGACAAAATATTTTAAATAAATAAAAAAAGAATTTAAATTAAATTAAACATTTGCTTTATATTTTAAATTGCTTATTCTGATAATGACAAATTGGGTGGATGGGGGGGGGGGGGGGGATGTTACACTATTTAATGAGAAGGCAAGTCCTACTTGTCTCTGATCATGGGCAGGACAAGCCTGTTCATCTCATCCATGGTGTAGGAGTACAGGGAGAGCCTAGGGTCCTCCTCAATACATGAGCCTACTGGCGCCTGACGCAGGGCTATCTCGGAGATCTGGAAGTGGTCCTGCTGCTCTTTGTACACGTGTCGCAGCTCTGTCATGGTCAAAACGTGCTGTAGGACAGAAGGTCATAGGTCAGTTGCATTCGACCTTTTAATATAGGCGTGTCAGGCATTATGGGTCAGTTTAGTACAATACAGCCTGATAAAGTGTTTCCTTTGAGACTCGCCAGCATTTAGGACAAATGAAGTAGAGTTTATCTGTTTCATTGATTTCAGCATATAAAGAGTAGTGTGGTCCTGTATTTTCCCTTATCTGAGTCAGATACCCAGAGCTGGGTGGGCTCTGGGATGTTCTACAAACTCAAGTCTGTCACCCAAACTTGTGATGTTTCGAGTTAACAGTTGCATGCTCTACCCTCCAACTGCGCCATTCCACACAACAAGCTGGACATACCTTTAGCCAGTCACCAACTGGACGCAGCAAGGCCAGTTCACTTTTCAAGTCCTCGTCCTTGATGAAAAGTTTTTTCTTGGTGTCTACCAGCAGCATACGCCCAGGTTTTAACCGACCCTGAGGTTGATACATGGAGACATTAGAGACCAAAATAGCTTGAAAAAACTAACAGTTTAATAATGCAGAAACATGGGAAAGCACTCTATCAGCTTTTCCAACCCTATCTGCATAAGACCTAGAATTATTTTTACAATGAAACAAAGTAAATAATCCTTTAGGAAAAATAGCCAATAACTACATATATAAAAAATAAAATATAAATATATAAACAAATTTTGGTTTACACTGAAATAAATTCTTATAATATTTGAGTCCCAATAGAAGAACTTTAATACACAGAATGCCATTTTGCATAAATTCCCCTATGAACACACATTTTATATTATGTAAAAGCTTATTGTTTGACAAAATTTTTTACATCATTAATAGAAAAAGTACATATTTAAAAAAAAGATTTAAGCATTGTCAGCAGTTTGGGATGGATTACATACCTTTTGAATGACCTCCTCAGGCTTGCGGTCAGTGACACCAACTTCGCTGGACATGTACATGAAATTATCATTGGTCACATAGAACCGAGATGGGCGCAGTCCATTCCTGTCCAGGATGGATCCAATGTAGCGACCATCAGTGAAAGCAAGCAGAGCTGGCAGGAAGAGACATACAAATAGCTGGTTACTTCAGTAGCAAAATAAACAACCATTAGATAAATTAGTAAATTAAGGCTCTTTATTAAAATTATTTTTTGTGATACCTAGCGATAATATAATGATATGGAATTACAGAAGTAAATGGGTAAAATTTTAGCAATTTTAAGGATATTAAGCATCTTTTAGGCAATGCTCATACCTGGGCGATGTCTAAAACCAACATATACATAGGCCAACCTATGCATAAGTACAAATCTGGGCCACCCATAACATCAGCACACACCTGGGCCATCCAAAACACCAGTACATACCTGGGCCACCCTAGCACCAGTACATACCTGGGCCACCCAAAACATCAGCACACAACTAGGCCACCCAAAACACTAGTACATACCTGGGCCACCCTAGCATCTGCACATACCTGGGCCACCCAAAACATCAGCACAAATCTGGGCCACCCAAAACATCAGCACACAACTGGGCCACCCTAAACACCAGTACATACCTGGGCCACCCTAGCACCAGTACATACCTGGGCCATCCCTAGCACCAGTACATACCTGGGCGACCCAAAACATCAGCACACAACTAGGCCACCCAAAACACTAGTACATACCTGGGCCACCCTAGCACCAGTACATACCTGGGCCACCCTAGCACCAGCACACACCTGGGCCACCCTAGCACTAGCACACACCTGGGCCACCCATAGCACCAGTACATACCTGGGCCACCCATACCACCAGTACATACCTGGGCCACCCTAGCACTAGCACATACCTGGGCCACCCTAGCACTAGCACACACCTGGGCCACCCTAGCACTAGCACACACCTGGGCCACCCTAGCACCAGTACATACCTGGGCCATCCCAAGGCTCCATAGAGAAAGCACTCCACCTGTAGTAGAGCTTCTTCTCCTTGGTCATAGTGACATCATTCTGCCAGGCTTCTGGCACCATGGTCATCACAGCCTGGACAAGACACAATGGACAAGTGTCAGTGACATGTCACCTACTTGTGTCATCCACAAAACTCATGTTAGGAAATAGCGTCAGTAAGAACAATCTAAACCAATTTAGGTTTGTGATTTAAAGTGTTAGAATTATAGAATACCTCAGCCAAAGATATGTTTCAGTAAATGTAAAGACCTGTTTTTCAATGAATTTTAGGCCAGAAAAGAATTCCTCAGGCAAAGTTTTATGCCAGAGAGGAATAACTCAGGTAAAGACTCGTTTCAGCACATTTAATGCTAAAATACCTTAAGTAAAGACCTGTTTAAAAAAACGTAAAGCTAGAATACCTCAGGTAAATAGCAGTTTCAGTAGATTTAATGCTAGAATAAATAAAGACCAGTTTCATTAAATTTAATGCTTAAATTCCAGCAGGTAAATGCCTTTTTCAGACAATTAAATGCTAGAATACTTTAGGTAAAGATCTGTTACAGTAAATTTAACACTAGGATACCTCAGGTAAAGACCTGTTTCAGAAAATGTAATGCTAGAATACCTCAGGTAAAGACCTGTTTCCTGCCATACACAGAAACTCCAGTACGTTGTCCACAGACCCAGAGTCTGACATGCCCTCCTCAATGACCGGGTAGACCTTCTTGATTTGGTCACCAAAATCTTTACTGCTCATCACCCCCTCCCTAGCCTTCATCAGGTTACAGTTGCCCCTCAGTGTGTTGATCTCTCCATTATGGGCCAACATCCTGGGTGGAAAAAAAATTGTCTCTATAGCATCAGGCATCAACTAGATGCCAACATCCTGATTTTAAACATTAACAAATTGTTTCTACAAAAGACTTAGGTATTATCAAAGTGCCAATATCAAGGATAATAAGATTTTTTGTATAGCATCAGACATTAAACAGATGCCAGCATCCTATTTTAAACATTAATAAATTGTTTCTACAAAAGACTTAGGTATTATCAAAGTGCCAATACCATTATCAAGGATAAAAAAAATTATTTCTATATAATCAGACACCTACAATGTGTGAATATCCCAGCTAAAAAATTGTTTCTATGAAACACTCCAACTATACATTTGTGGGCGTGAATTCTCCCAAATCCCCTTTTATAGATGTGTGAGCCCCCATAAGCGCCCCCCTCCCCCTCACACTAAAGATAATTAAGCCTTACCTTTGTGGATGTGCACGCTCCCAGCTGGGGAAGGTGTTGGTGGAGAACCTGCTGTGGACCAGTGCCAGATGTGTCACAAACTCAGGGTTCTGGAGATCTTTGTAAAATTTCCACAACTGTTCAGTATTTAGCTGACCCTAAATAATAACAATAATAACACAAGGTGAATAAACTGCAACACTTTAAAACCAGAGGTTACAACAGATTAAACAACTACACTTTTAAATAACTATTGCTGTATTTCTACCACTAAACTGATTAGCCCTATACTGTGATTAGCACTATGGTCTGTAAGTCAAGAGAGTATTTCCAGTTATGTACCTTGTACACAATGGTGGAGGAGTTCATACTGCAGATGTAGAAGCGAAGTCTCTGTTCTGGGATGTGGTGGGATGCGTACTTCCGCAACATGTACACCTACGTGTTAAATACAATGCTTCAGTTAACTGCACAATATTTTAATATGATAGAAATTTTTTCTGGAAAATATTTAAATTTAAAAACCATTACTGAATATCTTTTTACTTTTTAACTTTAGGGCACAAAATGCTTACCAACAAGATTCAGTATGGTAAAATAATTTTTTTTACAAAACAAAACAATTTGCAGAAAAAACATTCTAGGATTGGTAGGAAATGTAATTTGGGTTAATACTCAGGTTTCAAGATCACGAATTTTTGGTCGCACAAACAACAATAAATTATGTAAACAAACTAAAAATAACTCTTGAAAAAAAAATTTGGTGCTGTTCGGAGCAAATGTGGTGGTGTGGTCCGGCAGTAGAGCACACAGTGAAAAACAAAAAGACCTAGAACTGACATCCCATTGTCTGCTGAATAACCCAGATGCCAGCAAGCTTAGATGGATGCCAGACACAAAGTGAAGGCAGACTAAAGGTAGCTGGGCATTGTATTGCCCACACAATCCTTGCCTACAGAAACAAATTCTATTTTAGCCCTAGACTGTATACCATAGGTCTCAATGCTGTAGACCTACGCCATTGAAACAATTTCCGGCAACACTATATGCACTTTTCAGCAAAAGCCACTTTACATATGAGTCAAGAACCAAAGAGTTGAAACATTTCTCCAGTAACAACAGCAGTTACCTGTCTAGCAAACTCCATCTCATCATTGGGGTGTCCATTAGCTGAGGCCACAAATACCTGTGGAAGGTAGGGGAGGGGGGAAAGGAGAATAAATTTTAGTGTTTTAAACAGGTTTGCTTTGTTAGGTGGATGGATATTCTGACAGATTCTTTATGTTATCAATATTTTCAAGATAGCTTTGTTTGGTTTTAAAAGAATTTGCACTTTTTTGGTAAGGTTTATAAATAGAACATTTTCAAGAAAGTTTTCATTAGTTCTTTTAAAATGAACGCATTTTATAAGAAAACTTTCTCCAAATCTATCAATGTTTACACAACCTACAAGGCACCCTTTTCTATTGCCAGGTTTGTTAAGATCTGAACATCTTCAAGAAACTTTTCGACATGAAACAACAGATTTAAATAAATCAATATCTCCCATTTACTCACTAAATAAAACAAATGTCCATAAAAACTCTAAAACAGATTCTCTAAAAGCCTTTAAAAATATCGTTCAAAGAATTTCTAAAATAAATGTCTAAGGACTTGTTGATTGCGCTAAACAACGGAAAAAATTAGATAATTGGTTGGTATTTTAAGCAAACATTTTATTTGTGCAAGGCACCCTTTTCTATTGCCAGGTTTGTTAAGATCTGAACATCTTCAAGAAACTTTTCGACATGAAACAACAGATTTAAATAAATCAATATCTCCCATTTACTCACTAAATAAAACAAATGTCCATAAAAACTCTAAAACAGATTCTCTAAAAGCCTTTAAAAATATCGTTCAAAGAATTTCTAAAATAAATGTCTAAGGACTTGTTGATTGCGCTAAACAACGGAAAAAATTAGATAATTGGTTGGTATTTTAAGCAAACATTTTATTTGTGCAACGCACTATTGATTTTTACATGCAAGGCACCACCCCCCTCTGGTCTCATCCCCTCCCTCCCAGGGCCAAACAGAACTTGTGAGACCAGAATAAAGAACAGATTAAATTTTTCATGAAAAGAAAATCCTATTATAGAAGATCCAGCGGGATTTAACGGGGAAAACATTTTTTAACTAGCGTAATTAAATCAATTGAGAGTTACTTCCCTTCACATTTACAGAAATGTAAAATGTGTAAAAATTTACATGTATATATAAGTAATCAGTATAAAAAAAAATTTCATTGAATTTCCGTCTTTGAAACAAAATATGCTTACAGCAGCTCTTGTCTGATTGTATAAACATTTACAAACCTTCAGGACTATCTTTAAATTTAAGAATCCTAATTACTTCCCCCTTTTCTATAGCAAACACTGCAATTCCTGTGTAAACAGCCATCAATATTTACCTGAAGTATAGCAGGCTCAGATGACCTGGCCACTTTGCCTATTATATCTCTGTTTACAGGTACTGTACGCCAGGTAAGGACCTTTTGAAAACATTTGTTAACTGTTAGCAACATTTTCTTTAAGTTTCAAATTGTTGAAAAAGATTTAGACAATGTCTTCAAATTGTACTACTTTTAGACCAGCTTTTAGACCAAATCATCAAAAATATTAGACAGAATTTCAGATTAAAACATCAAAGCATTTTGATCAATTTTCAAATCAAAACATCAAAACATTTAGACCAGCTTTTACACCAAATCATCAGTACTTTTTGTACAGCTTTTAGACCAAAACATCAAAACTTTTAGACCAGCTTTCAGACCAAAACATCAAAACTTTTTGTCCAGCTTTCAGACCAAATTATCAAAACATTTAGACTAGCTTTCAGACCGAATTATCAAAACTTTTAGACCAGCTTTCAGATCAAATTATCAAAACTTTTAGACTAGCTTTCAGAACAAATTATCAAAACTTTTTGTCCAGCTTTCAGATCAAATTATCAAAACTTTTAAACCAGCTTTCAGACCAAATTATCAAAACTTTTAGACCAGCTATAGACCAAATTATCAAAACTTTTAAACCAGCTTTCAGACCAAATTATCAAAACTTTTAGACCAGCTTTTAGACCAAAACATCAAAACTTTTACACCAGCTTTTAGACCAAATATTCAAAACTTTTTGTCCAGCTTTCAGATCAAAACATCAAAACTTTTACACCAGCTTTTAGACCAAATATTCAAAACTTTTTGTCCAGCTTTCAGATCAAAACATCAAAACTTTTACACCAGCTTTTAGACCAAATATTCAAAACTTTTTGTCCAGCTTTCAGATCAAAACATCAAAACTTTTAGACCAGCTTTCAGACCAAATCATCAAAACTTTTTGTCCAGCTTTCAGATGAAAGCTTTAAAAAATGTTAGACTCACCTGTAGACCAAAATCTTGAGCAAATTTTTCAAAGAGCGCCTGAGCTTGTGGGGCTGTGTCAAAGTCCATGAACATGAGACCTGTGGCGTACCTGCCCAGGTCAGGCAGCTCTACAGGTGGGTCCTGGCTCCTGGACATCATTACAAGAGTATTGGACATGGTCAACACAACATTCAATAAGGTCATCATCAACACAACAATCAACTACCTAGTTGAATGTTGTGTTGACCATGTCTAATACATCATCAACACAAGATTCAACTAGGCCTTTATCAACACAAGAATATCAGACATGGTCAAAACAATGGCATTAAACTATGTCTTTATCAACACTGCATTAAACTAGCTCTTTATCAACACAACATTAAACTAGCTCTTTATCAACACAACATTAAACTAGCTCTTTATCAACACAACATTAAACTAGCTCTTTATCAACACAATGGTATTGAACTAGGTCTTTATCAACATAACATTAAAGTAGGTCTTTATCAACACTGCATTAAACTAGCTCTTTATCAACACAACATTGAACTAGGTCATTATCAACACAATGGCATTAAACTAGGTCTCTATCAAAAAAACATTAAACTAAGTCTCTTTCACTAAACAGCATTACACATTTTTTTAAAAATCATAAATGGCCATATACTTTAAAAAATGCTGCAATCCCAATTGATAGGTGTTTTAGGACAACTGTCAACTTACCTGAGTTCTTTAAGCAGAAGTTCATGTGGAATGCTGGTGAGTACTCCAGCACCATCACCTGAATCGTTGTCACAGCTACACGCCCCACGATGCTCCATCCTCTCCAGCATTATGCGAGAGTCCTGTAGGACCTGAGGAGACCAGCAGGACATGTCAGACATTGGAGGACTATCAACATGAGAGGACTTCTATCATAATAGATCTAACGCCACTATCAACATGAGAGGACTTCTATCATAATAGTTCTAACGCCACTATCAACGTGAGAGGACTTCTATCATAATAGATTTAACGCCACTATCAACATGAGAGGACTTCTATCATAATAGATCTAATGCCACTATTAACATGAGAGGACTTCTATCATAATAGATCTAATGCCACTATCAACATGAGAGGACTTCTATCATAATAGATCTAACACAGAGGCGTATCCAGGTTTTCGTTGTAGGGGGAGCGAAAAGAGCAAAAAAAAGGCGCCGAATTTAAACACTTTCTATGTACGTGCAATATATATATATATATATATATATATATATATATATATATATATATATATATATATATATATATATATATATATAAAAATATATATATATACATATATGTATATATATATCAATATATCAATATATATATATATATATATATATATATATATATATATATATATATATATATATATATATATATATATATATATATATATTGATATATTGATATATATATACATATATATATATATATATATATATATATATATATATATATATATATATATATATATATATATATATATATATATATATATATATATTGATATATTGATATATATATACATATATGTATATATATATATATATATATATATATATATATATATATATATATATATATATATACATATATGTATATATATATCAATATATATATATATATATATATATATATATATATATATATATATATATATATATATATATGTATAATTACTAGCTGTATGTCATATCTTCGCTATGATGTAAAATAAATTGAAAGTAGCACTCTGAAGAAATAAGAAAAAACACAATGTAGGCCGACAAAACAAATATTGTATCAATCTAAAGAAAAAACAAACAAAATATACACACACTACAACCAAAAACACTGAACGTTAACACACAATCTGTTTTGTAATTCTTGTAAAAAAATTTCTTACATAATAATTCCTGGGAAATTATTTAAGACAAGTGAAGTTGGGGAAATAATCATGCTCTTAATATAAATATGTATATATCTACAAATTTAAAATTATAAATGTCAAAACAAATAAATAATTACTTTAGAATATAATAAAATTGTTTAACACTATTCGTGTTAACAAAATGTTATTGTCTATAATCAGAATTAAATTTATCGTCATCATAAATGCTAAAGTATTACAGCATAATGTAAGTTTTTGAAATGCGAATTGGTATAAAACCACGCTTTTCGATACAATAGAAGAACAATCGGAATAACAGTCTACATTTAACTAAAAATCGGTCTTTTAGTTCAGATCATATATTTTAATTGACTACTGCTTCTTTGTGTTGCTTGGCGATCATCTTTTTATCATAGTGATAGGTATGGGTTAGATCACTGTATTGATCACACACCTTTTTACTGTCCGGTCACTTTAGGTCAATTATCCAACCCAGTGTGACATTAATGTCGCTCTACACAATTGTGGTGGTGAGATGTGGGGGGGGGGGGGGAGATATATGTTTAGAACAGTCATCTAAAAACTGATGCTATGTTCACTCTCAGTATACTGATGTATACTGATTCAGAAATAGATTTAATTAAGTAGCAGTGGTATTTTGACAATATGTTTTTACAGAGGGGTCCATGAGAAGGGGGGGGGGGGTTGTAACTATTTCATATAATTTGTAATCGTATCACTATCGCCCAAACTGTAAAAATACTACTACTTCATCGTGATGACATTGTTGAGCGTGTCAAAATTTCCCCACCGCTACGCAGCTTGCCCATAAGTAAATTTAAATAGAGGTGCCACATCAGTTGTATTTGTTTCTGTACTGTAATTTTCAAAAAAATTAATCACACTATTCAAACTGTATATATAAAGTAATTATGTCTGAAGTTTTATGTATAACATTTTCTAATGCAATTATTCGTAAGCAAATACATTATACAGTTGCCTTAACTTAACACCCCTCTTGCCAAGTGGTACTACCGGTAGGGGATTTTTAAAAATTCCAATGCATCGTAATGGTTATTTTTAGAATGGCAAACTGATGCAGCTGTCAATACGTGTTTTTACCGTAGACACTACTAGACTAGTACAATAATGCTTAACTGCTGCATTAAAAGAAATCTTGTGATTTACATAGATGTGCCGACCAAAAATATTTTTTAACAAATATCATTGTTTAAAACTTTGAGTTTAAAAAGTTTCCAAAAAGGCGCCACTTTGCTGAAAATGGCCAGAGGGGGAGCGGCCGCTCCCCCTGCTCCCCCCCTGCGTACGCTACTGATCTAACACCACTATCAACATGGGAGGACTTCTATCACAATAGATCTAACGCCACTATCAACATGGGAGGACTAATATCATAATAGATCTAATGCCACTACTAACATGAGAGGACTTCTATCATAATAGATCTAACACCACTATCAACATGATAGGACTTCTATCATAATAGATCTAACACCACTATCAACTTGAGAGGACTTCTATCATAATGGATCTAAAGCCACTATCAACATGAAAGGACTTCTATCATAATAGATTTAACGCCACTATCAATATGAGAAGACTAATTTCATAATAGATCTAACGCCACTATCAACATGGGAGGACTTCTATTATAATAGATCTAATGCCACTATCAACATGAGAGGACTTCTATCATAATAGATTTAATGCCACTATCAACATGGGAGGACTTCTATCATAATAGATCTAATGCCACTATCAACATGGGAGGACTTCTATCATAATAGATTTAATGTCACTATCAACATGGGAGGACTTCTATTATAATAGATCTAACACCACTATCAACATGAGAGGACTTCTATCGTAATAGATCTAATAACACTATCAACATAAGAGGACTTCTATCAAAATAGATTTAACGCCACTATCAACATTAGAGGACTTCTATCATAATAGATCTAACACCAGTATCAACATGAGAGGAATTCTATTGCAATAGATCTAATCATCATTGCAAATGTTTTAAAATGTGTTAAGAATCAACAAAGAACTATTAAAAATAGGTTATCAATATGTCAGAACAAGTGAGTTATAAAACTATCTTATTTGTAATCACATGATTCAATATAAGAAGACTTAACATTATAGATACATAATTTCTTCTGAACATTTTGTGTGCAGACACTTTATTGGGAAATATATTTTCTAACCCTGATATCTACCACAGAAAATCTCATTTTTTCATAAATATTTATTTTTCTGTGTAAATGGCAAATAAATATAGCACTGATGTATAACTACAAACAACGAGTTGGCCCTAAGAGCCATTAAGATCAAGGGCAGTGATCTCACGGAAAGATCAATGTCAATAAGTTGACACTGAGATCCCTCAATGATAAGGCACGGCCACTGCTAGAAGTTGTAGGATATTTTAGGCAGTTATTAGCTTAAAATAAAACGAATTGTCACTGAGAGCTGCATGTCACCCCAAAAAAAAAAAAACTCCATTAAAAGCATTCTGCCTCAAGTTTTTTTTTATAGCAGCCTTTTTTTTTCTATTTTAAAATGTTTGTCTGTTTTGAATGACAAACAGGACAGAGATAAGGTTCAATTGGTGTGATTCAAGTTGTTTCCCTTTACACAAGATTGGAGTTGTTTCCCTTTACATAACCAATTGTTGAGGGAGTTTTAAGGGGAGATCATGCATGTCAATGTTATGTTGGTTTGTAACTGGATATTTCACGTGAGGAGAAAACGGTGGTGGGAAATTACTTTAAGTGAAAATGTAGTATAAGACAGAGGGGGTTGGGCAGAGGGCTGGGCAGAGAGGGCTGGGCAGAGAGGGCTGGGCAGAGAGGGCTGGGCAGAGGGGGCTGGGCAGAGAGGGCTGGGCAGAGGGGGTTGGGCAGAGAGGGCTGGGCAGAGGGGGTTGGGCAGAGAGGGCTGGGCAGAGGGGGTTGGGCAGAGAGGGCTGGGCAGAGGGGGTTGGGCAGAGAGGGCTGGGCAGAGGGGGTTGGGCAGAGGGGGCTGGGCGGAGGGGGCTGGGCAGAGAGGGCTGGGCAGATAAATATAGATAAATCGATACAAAATTTACTGCAAGAGAAAAAGACAGTGACAACAACAAGGAAAAACACAAAGAAAGGGAGAAAGGGAGAGACAGAGAAAGGTAGAGAGAAGACAGAAAAAGACAGGAAGAGACAGAGAAAGGTAGAGGGAAGACAGGGAGAGACAGAAATGTAGAGAGAAGACAGAAAAAGACAGGAAGAGACAGAGAAAGGTAGAGGGAAGACAGGGAGAGACAGAAATGTAGAGAGAAGACAGAAAGATAAGGAGAGACAGAGAAAGTTAGAGAGAAGACAGAAAGACAGAGAGAGGCAAGAGAAAGACAGAAAGGTGTAGAAGAGACAGAGAAAGACAGAGGATACATCATAAAGAGCTGCGAGTCTAGAGCTGAAGATTACGGGGTATTTGAAGACAAACTTAATGACGCGTCTGCCTTATCCCCAGGGACACACAATAATCGGCAGCTGATCCTTGATGGAAATTGAAAGCGGACATGTTCACACAAGCTCCTTCGTTACGTAGCTGGAACCCGCTCTATTACGTCTGGGGGTGGGGGAGTGGGGTGGGGGATGAGGGAAGAGACCTAGCATGTGAGGCGGCGATTATTTAAATATCGACGAGAAAGGTGTCCGTGTTGTCGGAGGGTGATGTATGGGTGGGGGTGAGGGGTGAGGTGTCAGGGTGATCGAAGTAAAGACGCGATAAAATTGTTATTTAAAACTTATTCATGGGGTACATTGCTGTTTTAGGGGGCCGCTGCTCAATGCTTGTTGCCAGACTATGGCTTATACAAGCTGAACAATCTCGAAGTGTAAGTAATTGGGGACTTGTTGCGTGTTGGGGTGTTGTTGCTGTGTTAAG